ATTTTGACTAACCCTGATACTGACGGGCCGTCAGGAGAGGGAGAGAGAGAGGAAAAGAGATGCCTCGTTTATTTCCCCTGTGTTATTATCAGAAGTTACTGTAAACTGTTGAATAATGTAGTTCATCTACTTTTAGTAGTTTGTTTAAATGTTTTAATTATGTTGTTTTTGTTTGTAGAAGTGCATCATTCCTTGATTTATTGTAAAATGAATCTGAACCTTTTGATCTGTTATGATGATAAACTGAAGCAATTTCTAAATTAACCCAATTAAGTGAGTTTTAAATCGTCCTACTTAGTTTATAAGGAAATTATGAAGAGGAACAAATTAAATGATTTGAAAATGATATCTATGTAGGTGCTGATGCTGTTGGCGGTTCTAGTGTTAACAGAAATTTAAATTAAATATGTGTAATGGCAAATGCCATATATGATTTTCTTACCTGGAATTCTGCCTTTTTGAACAGACTTTTTGATTGAGTCCTAGCTATATTGTCTGCAGTGGATTAATATGAATCTAATATGATTGTCATCGGTCTAAATTAGATTTCAAATGATTAACTGTGTATGTAATGAAGATCATAGTGTGGGTTAAATCCAGAGATGGGGTCGTTACTAAAAAAAAGTAATATATTACATATTACATATTACTTTAAAAAAAAAGTAATATATTACACTACTTCGTTACTCTCTACATAAAGTAACTCGTTACTTTACTCGTTACTTTACTCGTTACTTTACTCGCAGGGCCGGCCCGCCCCTCCCTACAGGCAGATCACGCAGACTGCTAAAGTTTCAAATGTTCTCTTTAGTTCAGTTTCCATTGTCGCATAAGACTGATCCAGATTAGTGATGGGAATTATGGCTCTTTGAAGGGAGCCGGATTTTATGGCTCCGTTCCTTTCAAAGAGCCGTTCAAAAGAGCCGTTCAAAAGAGCCGTTTTTTAAAAAAGGGGGCGGGGTTACTAGGTTTATCTGCGAAATAATCACCAGGATAATGATTGACTGCATTGCCAGACCTAATGTCAATAATCTGCATTGTAAACATGACACAAGGTGGCGCCATATCCATGTCATTCATGTCAGTGAATGTACTTTGAATTTACCCTCTGCATGTGTTAAGTAAATAAAGTTGCCTTGCCTTGAATGAAATTCACGCAACTCTTAATATTAGTAGTGTGTTTTTAAGTGGCGATGGAGATTATTTGTTGACCCTGCTTTAAAGGATATTTTGCCTTTACAAATGGTGCGCTTTATCACTGCCTGGGTTTTGGTTGAAGTGCATCCAAATGCTGCTGCGTTTTCGCGTTTGGCTCATTTTCCATCCGAAAAACACGTCGTCTATCTGTCCAGTACCACTTGTTATGACTTCTCTCTCTCGCGTATTCCGTTAAGACCCACCCCACCTAACTCCTCGTGCTGAAACCTACCAATCAGAGTAGGGGCGGGTCTTCACAGAATACGTTTGGGGAACAAAATCAAGCTTTTTAAAAGGCGAGTGAATTTTGGCAGGCAGTGAGTGCGGACCAACTTTGATTGAACGATAAGAAGAACGGCTCTCACCAAGTACGACTCGGTTCCCCTCGTTCGTACCAAAGAGCCGTTCAAAAGAATCGGCTCGTTCGCGACCGACACATCACTAATCCAGATAGCTCTGACTATGGCTGTCCTCTGTCTCCTGCTATCTGTATTTTGCGCAGTATATCTCTGAACGATGCGATGGTGATTCCACTGTGCAAATGGGCAACATTACCTCTACTATGAAGGATGCTACAAGCCTGTCCATCTCTGCTTTGGTTACCGGTCCTCCAAATTCAAATTTTTGCTGCTTTGGAGTTGGCGGCGGCGCACTCAAAACATCCTCACTCTGGGTTCGGGGGTCCGGTCCTTAGCTATTAGCTTCACCTTAGCATGTGTTCTTTGCAGGTGTTTGTTGAGGTTTGACGTGGTGTTTACAGCAGTGTATAACAGCTTCTGGCCTGGACACAGTTTGCACCTCACCGTCACATTCCTGTCTATTCTTCGGACGAACTCAAAATAATGGGCATACCTCCACCCCTCGAAAGTTATCGCTGACTCTGCCATGTTTATGCAGCACTGCACGTGGATATGTGGACGCGCAAGTCGCGCAGATTATGTACATATAAACCTGCGGCGGAAACCCCTCTTGTCTGTCAGTGTGATTATGACTGATTTTATAAAAGTAACGAAGTAACGCGTGTCGGGGCAATGTTAGTAACTGTAGTGTGATTACTGAATTATAAAAGTAACGCGTTACACTACTCCGTTACCGACAAAAGTAATATTATTACAGTAACGCGAATTTCGTATGACTTGACTTGACTTGACTTGACCTGAGCAATGACTTGACTTGACTTGCTTGACTCTCACCACAGTGACTTGGGACTTGCTTGATACTTGTAGGTCAAGACTTAAGACTTGCTCATGACTTGCACATGTAGGACTTACTCCCACCTCTGCTATCTACTGTACATACATCTTATAAGAGGAAAATACATATGTATAATATCAGTTAAAATAAGTGCTTAAACATAGTTAACATTGCAGGAAAGCAATATATTAGACTTTAAGTACTTTGTCAGGCTTAATATTTATCTGTAGATACAAATTTCACTGTGTGTGCTGTGTGCTCTGCATGTGTGACCATCAAAGAGGGTTTCATCCCTCCATATTCATCTTCTATACCTTAACCTAAAGTATTCTTTAATGTTTAAATAAAGCCTTATTAGTTTGTCTGTTTTGCACATCCTCCTATTAATATTTAATAATAAAATTATAAAATGCAATAACGTGCTTTAACCAGTAGGTGTCCCTTTCTATCAGCTGTGCACCGTTATGGCGTAAATACAGCCTATCTACCAATTGGATCAAATATAAAAGTCAGCCGAATTAGTGTTGATACTGCAAGGAGACGTATTGTGTGAAAAGAAATGTAAGATGTTGTTTAATTGCTTATATATTTAAGATCCACGTCAAGTTTTCAGTTTTGGCGGCAGTTGTTCCTGTTTGTCTAGAAGTCTTCTCATCAGGGCTCTATAAATAGACAACTACGGCAGATATGTAATATTTAATGCAGCCGAAACGTGTATTACAATGCCGTTATGTGATGACTTTCAAAGAGAAAAGCAAGCACAATCGGAATAATGTATTATCTTTTTTTTTTAAATGTTTTCGGATTTCACATCGCATAACACCAAATCCCAGCGTGCATAGCGGAATATCAGTATGAGAAAAACGGCGTCTTTTGACCCTCACATCGTACAAGGAAAAACTTCCAGAGAAAAACCCACAGTTAATATACACACATTCCTTCACATTTAAATTTAAATCTACATTAAAGTATTTCGTGAGGCCTTCTAACATGTTTTTAAATATAACTACGGTTGTAGTTGAAGAGTTTGTAAATTAACATGAACCGAAGCTGTTGCCTGTTGCAATATACAGTCTATGGTTGCTACAGAGGATTGTGGGTAATGTAATGTCTTCGGCCATCCAAAACTCATAGAAAACTACTTGTTTCTCAGAATTGAAGGGGAAAACGTGACAAAAGCATTGTACACACACTAAAACCTATCAATGTTGTTTAATTAACAAGGATAATCTGGTGTTTTTGAGTTGATGAGTAGTGGAGATATCACTGTCAAATCAATCGACAGTAAGGGGAATACTTACTTCCGGGTGTACAATTCTCCGTTATCCAATGGGAATGGACGCTCACATTGCCTTTAACACAAACGAATGCCGTGCTTCCATGAGCGTCAAATCCCGCCGCAGATGGGAATACATTGCAATCAGTTGAAAGCTATTTGCGTCTGTTTATGAAGCTGAAGGAGCCTAGGAGCGTCCCAACTGCACGCCTCGGGACCCTGACCAAGCGTCGCTTCTGGACGTTTATGGAGTGAGAGTCTGTTGCTCCTGAGTACAATCATTCATGTATTCTGCTACATTTGTTGAGGGATAAAATGATTTTTTGCAATAAGTTCTACATGAAATTGATACTGTTGGACTCAGTACTACTTGGAATACAACCACAAGTACAATCAAGTATTTTTACTCTCTACTTTTTGAATAATACTCGGTTAAACTCCTGTCCTGAGTACAATAATTCACAGTTCATAGAGTACAACACATGAATTATTGTACTCAGGACGGGAGTTTGTGTAGGTGATCTAGTATTTATTATTGTTCAATGGAATGTATATCAGTGTATTAAAGTCAATACTTCATTTATTTAAACCAATATCTTTCTTGATTCTTTGTACAGTATGAAAAAAATAGTCTTTGTACCTGTGCTGAAGTTCACTGCTGTGAGGAGTCCAGTTCTGTCTCTCACTCTCTGGTCCAGCCTGTCGAATCACCTGGACACTTTAAACAAACAGATATATATGTAAAGTACCATGTGTACAAACAATATAACTTATTCTCTTCTGTTGAACATGTTGGATTGTGTATTGTCCGAATCAGGGTCCTTTTTATTTTACTGTAACTTTGGAAGAACAAATGAAATGCAATGAATAAGCTTAATTTTAACTGAAGCACACATAACATCTGATCTAATATTTCACCTCAGGACTTAGTGTGCATGTTCAATATGATTGACTATGTGTGCAAATTCAGCAGGTTCAGTATACAAATTAAACATTAGTAACATTTCCCAAACAAGAAAAGAAGAACAAGAAGAACAAGAACTACATAAATGCAGAAAAGTTATTTGGCAGTCATTTTGAACTGGTCATTCAACTTTATGCTCCAAAGTTAGTCAAACATGTTAATGTTACCCCTTATTGATTTTCTGCTGTTTATCTTTTTCCTCAAATTGGACCTCAGTTTCTCAACTGCTGCTGGGAAATGGTGTGTATGTGGTTGTGTTCGTACAGGTGGACAGAAAGACTAAGTGAGGTGAGGTGGGGCTGGGCAGTGAGAGGATAAAAGGAGGGTGCTGCATAGCGACACTTCACTGACAGCGGACCAGGATCAGGTAGGAGGATGAGGAAAACTCTGCTGTGGCTGCTGGCCTCTCTGGCCTTCGTCTCCCTGACTTCTCTTGCTGATGGAGCTCCATTGTAAGTAGACATGTCGTACCTTTACCCACTCCAGCTCTGCTTGAATCATTTCTCAGAAAAGAAAGATATATCTTTTTTTGTTTTTGGTCATCTTCCTGGTATACACGTTGTTATTGGTTAAACTGTAATGGAAGCAACTATTGGTGGTCGCTACATTCATATTATTCGAAAAGCTTTTGGATTTACCTTAACTTGTGTCTTTCATAATGAGGAGCTAAAGTCCACTCTGTGTTACAAAATTCAAGGTTATGTGGTGTTTCAAATGATGCCGATAAGTTGGCCTAATTTTTTGTTTAGAGTTTGCACAACGATGCAAAATGCCAGACAGAGCAAGGGTCTAGAGATATGATGAAATATTGTGTTGATCCAGTGCTGGATCTTTGTCAATGTAATCAATAGATTACTCATTGTGTGTGCAATCCATGCTGGAGCTCATGATCCAAATCTTTGAAAAATAGATTTCGTTTTTTTCTGCAGTTTGGGGGAATTGAAACCTAAAGTTAAATGTTCTGCTCCCCCTCACTGTTCCCTTTAATTATGTTCTTACCAATTGGGTTCGGTTTATTTATTTGACCACTTTAAGCACATATATACACACAACTCATGCAGTATCCCATATATTTATTTGTATGCTCACAATTTCCAAAACACATGAATATTCTTTGAACTTTACTATTTGAAACACTTCAAACTCGTCCTGCGAATGGATATAAAACATGGAGGCATCATTAATTCAAGATGAGTAGTTAATTTAAAAAAGGTTGTTTTGTGTGTGAATTCATATTTTGAACTCTTTTGTTTCAGTACATCCAAAACAGCATGTGTTTTTTTCTGCTCGGTGACATCACATTCACATTAATATATATCTTCTTTTCCGCCCCCGCTTTGCAGGGAGGTGATGTCTGCCCCCAACTTGTTGAGTGTAGGAACAGCAGAAAACATTTTTGTGGAGTGTCAAGACTGCACAGGTGAAGACAAAAAGGTGGAAATCCATGTGATGAGCCATCCAACCAAAAACATAAGGCTGGCAAATGCATCTGTGACACTTACCAGTACAAATGAATTCCAGGCGCTGGTACAGATAATGGTAAATGATGCGCTATAACTCGGCTGCATTTTAAAATGATCTATTAATTAAAAAATGCACATACTGTACACACCCTGCTCCTATTACTGCTTCATAATTATTTCAGATCCCTGCTGGAGACTTCAGTAAGGATCCCAGCATTAAGCAGTATGTGTATCTGCAAGCTCAGTTCCCTGGCCGACTGCTTGAGAAGGTTGTCCTGGTCTCCTTTCAGTCTGGGTATATCTTCATCCAAACTGACAAGACCATCTACACCCCCAACAGCAAAGGTGAATTTATTCAATATCAATAAATCAAGCAATATGTATTCATAAAGCCCCATATTACAAATGTGAAATGTGCCAAAAGGGGCTGATTAGGAAAATCAGTCCCAATTAATCTGTGCAAAAATAAAAACTATAAAGATATGACTTAAAGGTCACCTATAGGGCAAAATCCACAATGTAATGTATTTTATACATTAATATGTGTCCCCTCTGTGTTAAGAGTTTCAGGAAAAAATAATCTTTCTCTTTTCTGATCCATCTATCTAAAAACCGGTCTGAAAATGAGCTGATCAGATTTAGGCCACTTTGTGATGTCACAATGTTTGTTTTGGGTTGTGCAACCATTAGCCAATAACCAACCAAGGTGACACCCGCTCACCTGAATCTCATCCTAGAAGGTTTCTAATTTCTCTAATTCCCCTCCTTGACTCCCCTCCTCGACTCCTATCCTCGACTCCCCTCCTCGACTCCTATCCTCAACTCCTATCCTCGTGTCTTAGTCCCTCCCACAGGAGATGCGAGCGGAGGAGTCGAGGAGGGGAACCAAGGAGAGAGGAGGGGAAGCAGCAGGCGGTTAGAGAAATGAGAAATCCTCTCCTCTGAGCGGTCATTTTAAAGAGACGTCCGTTAATGATGACAGGAGGCACAGCAGCCCTCTGTCTGATGGACAGATGTGTTCATGATGACTTATATATTTACTTTTAATTAATTGACTGCGGTATAATGAGACAATAACAGGCTACAGATGCGGACATATATACACACACACATATATATTTATATAAATATATACAATTTCAGAATCAAACAAGTATGAGAGCACTCTCATAATAACGTAACACTATCAGAGACTGGATATATCCCCCCCTCTCTCTGGTCGCTACAATGAGGAGTTTAAATTACGGGCCAAAAGTTTTATTTACAAGTATTAAAAGTAAGCAGAGTTAACCAGACCAACTGAGACTGGGTTTAAGGCATGCTACAATGCACGATCTGTTTAGTATTTCGAGCCAAACACTTCAGAGACATGTTTTATATATATCTAAGACCTATAATGTATTGTTGAAAAAGAATATAATAGGGGACCTTTAAAACATAGTAGTGGCAGCGGACCTAAATCAGGAGAACTGCAACAGGTTCATCCACAATCCCAAAGGTGCAACGATTAAATGTGGCTTTCTGCAAGAGGAAAGAGCTCGAAAAATCTGGAGTTGCCAAGTTTTTACCATGCATTTATCGGACATTAGTGCATAAAGATAGAGAGGCAGGGGAAAAGAGAGGCAGTCTAAGCCTATAGCAGCATGATTAGGGGCTGGTCCAAAGTAAGCATGAGCCAGCCCCAACTATAAGCTTTATCAAAAAGTAAACTCTTAAGTCCACTCGTTTTCTATGTCAGTTCTTTACAGGATGTTTGCTGTGACACCCCGTATGGAGCCTGTGGAAAGGGATGACGCCAACCAAATGGATGCGTCTATTGCCATTGAGTTTGTGGTATTGTTTTCCGATCTTTGATAAGCACATATAAGCCTCTTTGTATTACAAATTCTTAACAGTAGATACTTTTCCTCGGAGATTACCAAAATAAATAAAAACACAGCCAACCTTGTGAGTTGTTGGGTTGTGTTACTTAAGGAACACCTGTCCTATCACTTGCTACCCTCTAGTGGTTGATTTGCATAGCCACTTTCTTTAGTGGTAGATAAATACATTTTAGGAGTAACTGGAAATTAAAAAAGTCTCAATGGAGACAATTACCAAGCTCATTGAGACATGCATAACATTGTCTATAGCTTGGATTTACAACTTGTTTCTGTTAATGTTTTATTTTTTATATTGTTCTTTTTTAGACCCCTGAAGGCATCATTTTAGCACGTGATCCAGTCTCTTTGAAATCAGGGATCCACTCTGGAGATTACCAACTCGCTGAAATTGTCAGGTTAGTAGTTTATCTTGTTTATGTTGTGTTCTCTACAATGAATTTCCATGTTGCGAATTTAGTGTTTGGAAAAGAACTAAACAAAAAGTAATATCTTGGGGGGGGGGGGGCGCGGGCGTGGGCGGGCTCGTGAACTGTAGTGCGGTGTTATGCATGTCCACTGCACCTCGCGGGAGCGCACAGACATTTCAATGATTTGTATGGCAAAGTACGGTTTGGAAACTATATAATTTCCTTTTTGACGGGCATGCATAACACGGCAAAACACCGGAGCCTCGCTGCGGGGAAGCTTTGGTGCTGTTCTGGTTTGTTCTGATCTGTCAAAATGACGGACTGCTTTCAGATTTTTCCGTCATTGTTAAAGCTCCCATGTCATGCTTTTCCGGTTATTACCCGTCCCCTTGTGTGTTATGAAGGTTTTTATGCATGTAAACGGTGTGCAGAGTCAAAACCCTCAAAGTACACCCTGTAGCGAGTAAAACTCTAACACAGAAAATACCTCCCCAAAACGCCTCGTTGGAGATACGTCACTGCCCATTTGAGTCTTCCATTTAGTTCCGGGTACCGCCTGATGTCATGCGGTACCCGGAACGAAATGGACCAATCCCGAAGAGCTATGGCCACACCAGCAGCGGCGTGTTCCTCCTCCAGAGGTTCGAAGAACCGGCATTTCACAGACGAAAGCTTCCAAAACATTGCCCAGTTTGAGGCCGGATATGCACAGCTTGTTTGGACCGTTTGGAGCAGGGGAAGATCTGGGTATACAACCTGTAAGTTTGCATTGTTATTTGTGTATTTATCAAACAAGACTGTTTAAATGTGTAAACTGTGTTGGACTGCTAAGCCATTGACACAGTGCTAACTGTGCTAACTAAGTTGCTAGAGTTTCCATATATCAACTCTAATATCAGCAGATGGCCTTGCATACATGTATCTCATAGCAGGAGAATGTCTGCATTCACACACAAAATACCTATTGACAGTATACTGCGGGTGATTTGCCGGTCAGTCGCGAAACGTAATTACATTATAGCTGGCGTAGCGATCTAACACACGGAGCTTGAGCTAGTTTTGGTCAGAAAAACATTTTTGTGATGCTACGTTGCTAGCGTTTAAATATATCAACTACAATGTCAGCAGATGGCCTTACATGTTTGTCATGGCAGGAGAATGTCTGCAGTCACACACACGGAATACTCATACAGTATACTCCGGTTTACCGTACATTGTGACCGTACATATACTGCATGTAGCTAACGAGGCTAGCTGTATGCTAGCGCAAAACAATGTATTCATGCAAGTTACATTGTATGGTAGCAGAATACCCGTATACGATTGCAATTATAAACACGTTATTGCTAGCCTAATATGAACCACTAGCTTTTGTTCATAGTAGTTTTATTACACTGCATTATAGTTGCCTTTCCTCCAAGCTAACGTTCATATCGTGTTAGCTACCAAGGTAAACAAAGCTAGGTTAGCATATTAGCAGGCAAGCTGTTCATTACACAACTACTACTAACGAATCTAAAACAACTAAGTTTCTCTAATATTTTGTGATTTGCATTTGATTTCGTCCAGCCAGATCCTGGCGGACAATCCATGACGGGGAAGGGATTCTACTGAGGGTGCTAAAAGGCACCGCACCGCACCGGCTGTGCGCAGGCAAGAGGAGGAGGAATGGATGATATACCGTGTATATATGTATATTTATGTTCATTTTGTACATTTCTAAAAATAAAGTTTAATGGAAATACTTAGTAGGCCTATCCTTTCTTCCCTGAATTCATATATAGCAAACCATGATTTGATTTCTCATCAAACAGTAGTAGTTTATAACGGGTAAAAATAACTTACTCTTTGTTATGAGCGGCTCGTAGGCCACAAAGACAAGGAGACATACACGAGTTTACAAAACCACGGCACATTTATTGTGATAAATGCAGAGATAGGTGGTTGAGAGGATCGCAGAGTTAGTCTTCCTGCAGCCGCTTTGGAGAGAGACTGGGGCCGTAGTGTCCGGAGGTGTCCGTGATCGTGCTGATTAGCCTCTTCAGCTCCACCCCATCGTAAGACAAAGGCCCTGGGGCCGTCACACTCTTCTATAACAACAGTTAAAAATATATATGTATATAAAATATACCGCTGTACCGACGCCATGATAAGACTGATGTTACGCTGAGAGCAGCCGGGAAAAGCACTGACATGGGCGCAGCCTCTCTGGTGGTTGACTAATCAGAACGAGTGGCCGAGCTGACCAATCGGAGCACACTAGGCTCACAGGGAGGGGGGGGCAAGAGCTCCAACGAGTCGTTTAGTGGAGAAAGTGAATACTGCTGAATACACATGCTTGACAGAGATGCTGTATGCGAAACCAATGTGAGTTTGGAAAATTGCACAGTATAAATCTATTTTAGTATACCTCAACAATGTAATTATGATCAGTGGAAATGGCCATGACATGGGCCCTTTAAAAGAAATCCGTCATTGACGGAAAATATTTGGTTAACGCGGCCTCTGGTTGGCACGGTAGTTCCTGGGCTCTATAACACCTTACTGCACTTCATCTGGAAATCCATTTGTAAATTCATTCAGCGAATATGCTACTTTACTAAAGTAGCATATTCGCTTTCTGGCCGAAATGATTAAGGATTGAAATAACAGTCTTCTTGTGGTAATTATATTTTCTCACTCTCAAATAAATAGTTTATCTATACTTTATCTATAACAATACAGCATTTTAATTGTAAATGGACAGATTCAATAGAAATAGGAAACATTTAATGCCTATGAATTGTACAGTAAAGCTAATCAGCGTAAAAAGAAATACAATAAAAGTACTAATACCTTTACTCCCTACTACGCTACTAACCTGAAAACATTACATTTTAGTGTAGGGCACTAATAATTATATTCAGCAGCTAATTTTTATATATTTTATTTGTGAATTAACAAGATGTAAATACCTTCACAGAGTATGAGGCCTGATTCCTGTATTACCTTGTTACCTCTCTAAATTAGTGTTTAAATGTTGTGTTTTTGTGTGTTTCTATGTTTAGTACCGGACTGTGGAAGATCCGCACAAAGTTCCACAGCAACCCACAGCAGAGCTTTAGTGCAGAGTTTGAGGTCAAAGAATATGGCGAGTCTCCCATTACCTGCACTTTCATTTAAAACCAATATCAACTTACAACATTCACTCGTTTTTTTTACTGGATTGGTAAAACCATAAATATCATTTTTCAGTGCTTCCCAGTTTTGAGGTTAAACTGAATCCTACGAGCCCTTTCTTCTACGTGGACGACCGAGAGCTCACAGTCAACATTAAAGCCACGTAAGAGAAAGTTATTGCTCTGTGGCTTTAGAGACTGTTTGATTGTTGGATTGATTGTAGGAATGAATACAGGTTGCTGTTTAGAGGTTGGGTTGACGCTCTTGATCTTTTAGTTTCTTACTCATTTGTTTTTACTTTTTTTTAAATGAACCTGTTTTGATTCATACATTTCCCTCTCTTGTGGATTTAGGTATTTGTTTGGTCAAGAGGTGAATGGGATGGCCTACGTTGTGTTTGGGGTCATACATGATGGTGAAAAGAAGAGCTTTCCAAGTTCTCTTCAGAGAGTGCAGGTGAGCACATTCTACACTAACTATATTTTACATGTGTTTTGGAAGAGTCTCATACTCACAACATGTCTAGTATTTCTCCTCTAACTCCAAGATCTGCAGTTATTTCAGTTTAATTTCTATTCACAGATATTATGTATTTAGCGTGTTGACAATGTAACATAAGGACAACGATGGTGGTGACAAAACACAGTCTTTTCATATTGTTTTAATTGAGAGACCCTTAGCAGCAGGAAATAAAATGTTGTATTATCAACTGTTCACTGTAACACTATACTACATTTTAAGACACATTTTTAAACTATGTTACATTAGATTGAGAGAGGTCTTGGAGCTGTCACGCTGAAGAAAGAGCACATCAAAAACATTGAAGAACTGGTGACGAAATCCATATTTGTAGCTGTCAGTGTGCTAACGGAGAACGGTAAGAAAGAGACTAAGACTATTCCCAAACGACAGGGGGGGAAACATAAATATACTGTATAAAGATAGGATAAGTGTTTTTGTATCAACTACAAAGTGACCGCATTTAAAAAATATAATTACATTATAAACAAAAAAATCTTGTAATCTGTTTTTATTTGATTTGTTTCTGCATCTATTAACAGGTGGTGAAATGGTGGAGGCAGAGTTGAGAAATATTCAGATTGTTAAATCTCCTTACACCATCCACTTCAAGAAAACTCCAAAATATTTCAAACCAGGAATGTCCTTCCAAGTTGTGGTAAGTACTTTACATTAACTTTAAAAAAGTACTATAAAAAAAAGCACTTCATAATAACATTAGCAAAGGTATGGCTATATTTTTGATGTATTAAATGATTTTCTGAAAGACAGTTACTCTTTTTTAAATGATTAAACCTACATAGAGTTTACTACGGAGCCCTGGAGGGTTCATAGAGAGAAAAATAAAATAAAACGAGGCCACGTTTTATTAATTCATGCGCACGATATACTTTCTCGTTCGCACGAGATACTTTCTCGTTCACACAATATACTTTCTCGTTCGCACGAGATACTTTCTCGTTCACACAAGATACTTTCTTATGGTAAGACACATTGAACTGCCCGATTATTACGCCATATTATTAGTTTTATGAAGAATATGTCCGGTCGCCAGGGCATGTGTGTGTGTGTGTGTGTGGGCATTTGTTTATGATAGTGTCGTTCGTTCCGGTTCACTCCGGTAGGACTATAGCACTACATCGAGATTAAGATTAAATTCATTTCTTTCACTTGGGAATACACATATAACTATGGAGAACCAGATGTGTGTACATTACTGTTCGTGGTAATTTGAAAACAAATGCCGGTGTCGGACACACACAAACACACCGAACACACACACACAGAGCGGAGCTGAGCACAAACACACACACATCATGCGCCCTGAGGCCTGTACTACGAATCCGGTTCAACCTAACCTGGATATGTTTGAGTTACCTGGCTTACCTAATCCAAAACAAACGCGCTCTCGCTAAACTGTCCTACGACGCTGGTTATCAACTCGTTAACTCAAGCCAGCTTTGTCCTATCTAGTTAGGTGCGCGTTCACATGAAAGGTGTGGTATTTGGAGCATTCGACCAATCACAAACATGGACAAACGTACTGACAGCGCAGCGTCATACTTCCTGAATGAAAAGTCAACTATAATTAGACAAATATGAAGACGTTAAACTTTAAACATCCATGACTTAAACACTTTATCCAGGATAAAAGCCACATAGCTGCACCTGCAAGGTGAATACAGCTGGTAAAAGAAAAAGTGTTTGAATGCGTACATTAACAGGTTTATGAAATTACTGCCCCGTCCAAGACACGAGTGGATCTGACTTTAATTACATTTGACTCGAGTGTTTCGTCAACTTAATGTGTTGCTTAAAATAATACTTCTGCATACAGTATGTGACACTGTAAGTGTTGCACGGCCAGATACGGCAATTGCAGGTGCAGCTATGTGGCTTTTATCCTGGATAAAGTGTTTAAGTCATGGATGTTTAAAGTTTAACTTCTTCATATTTGACTAATATTAAAGTTCACTTTTCATTCAGGAAGTATGACGCGCTGCGCTGTCAGTACACTTGTCCATGTTTGAGATTGGTTGAATGCTCCAAATACCACCCCTTTCATGTGAACGCGCACCTAACTAGATAGGACACGGCTGGCTTGAGCGATCCACTTGATAACCAGCGTCGTAGTACAGTTTAGCGAGAGCGCGTATGTTTTGGATTGGGCCAACCGGCTAACTCAAACATATCCAGGTTAGGAAAATCCGGCTTCGTAGTACAGGCCTCTAGTGTTTAACAGTCTTATCGCCTGTGGAATGAAACGGGGGGTTACGTGTTGTAACCCTAGTTATATAAGCACAGGCACTCTACTGGACTCTATGGGTACTACCTTATCCCACGTGCATTCTCCCACTGAGACTTCTATAGACGTAGCCGGCCCAGGGCGGGCCTACCTGAATGCGCGCGCATCACACCGTATAAAAGGAGGCCTCGCCTCCTGACTATCATCCTATACCTCTCTTCAGCGAGCGGAATAGAACAGACAGTGCCCTGAGTAGAGGGCTCCACCTGTGCTTATATAACTAGGGTTACAATACGTAACCCCCCGTTATATCTCTCACAGGCTCCGCCCTCTACTGGACTCTATGGGTACAGTGGGTGGAGCCCTGATGTATACGCGCACTGTCGTCCAACACCATTCCACCCTACTGCCCCTGACCGGCTTTTCTGGTCAGCAGCTGCTGCCCCACACTCTCCCTTAACCCGGTTGTGACCGAGGAGAAATCTGGGCTGCGGCTGACAGAGCACACCCTGCTGCGCTTACCTCGCAGAAAGTGTGCTCAAAAAACAGTGCCGGGGGACCCCCCCCCCCCCCGCCCATAGACGGGTGGGGAGAGCCCCCTTGGCCCCGTATGGGCTTGCTACGCACCTGCCTTCCTGAATCCCTAAGGATAACAGGGAGAGCGCCAGCGCCCATGCCTCACACTCAAGCACTGACCCCGTGCAGAGTGTGAGAGGACTAAAATGTGGGGGGGCAGATGCCAACTGACCCACAACCCCCCCCCTCCCACCCCTACAAATCCTGTGTTGCCCCAGCAAGCACAGACGAGGAGAAAGAGCCAGACATGTCCGAGAGATAAAACCTTATAAAGGGGCCTGGCGTCGACCAAGACGCCGCTGTGCATAAATCCTCCACACTGTTGAATAAGGCTGTTGACACAGCTACAGCCCGTGTGGAGTGCGCACGAATCCCCGTGGGGCAGGCTCTCCCTGCCTGTCCGTAGGCATGTGCAATGCACTCGCAGAGCCAGCCTGCCAGGCGTTTCTTGGACAGAGCTTTCCCTATCACCCCGCCCCCGAAGCACACGAACAGCTGTTCGGTGCGTCTAAGGGCAGCCGTGCGCTCCACATAACATGCTAGCGCACGCACCGGGCAGAGGAGGTGCAGTTTAGCCTCCCTGGCCCCCCATGGGGGGGGAGACTAAAACCCCCTAACTGAATAGCCCTCGACCTGAACACACTTCTTAGGTCTTTAGGCACAAAGGAGGGGTTCGGTCTAAGTGTCGCGCCGCTCCGGCCACCCCGAACTAGTAAACAACTCGGGTGCACCGACAGAGCAGTTAACTCGGACACTCTTTTGGCTGACGTTAAGGCAAGAAGCAAAGCTGTCTTCCACGACAATGCTTTCAGAGGGGAGAGCTCCAGAGGCTCAATGGTCCCGAGGCCAGAGCCTCGAGCACTAGGGGCAGGTCCCACTGCGGGGTGGAGACGTGCACTACAGGGCGCAGTCTCCTAACCCTCTGTAAAAACCGCGACATCAGTGGTTGATTAAAGGCTGACCTGCCACCAAAATCCCTCATGACAGGACGAGATGGCTGCTGCATACACTTTCACCGTGGAATGCGCCAGCCCTCTGTCCACCAGTAAGTGTAAGAAGGATAAAATAGAGCCCAACTCACAAGATAGGGGCTCTATTCCCCGCTCCTCACACCAATGCTGGAATCTCAGCCACTTTGGCCTGTAACAGGCTGTGGTGGATTCTGCTCTAGCTGCCTGGATAGACTGAATAACGCTGTCAGACAATCCACCCTGTTCTCCAGTCCCGGGACATGGAGGGCTCTCAGAGATAACACCACCTCTGAGGCCCATAACCACAGCTCCTCCGCTGTGGTCAAGGAGGCGGAGCGGACTCCGCCCTGCCTGTTGATATAAGCCACTGTGGTGCTGTTGTCGCTCCTGACCATTACATGTCTCCCCTAAATTAGGGGCATGAAATGCCGGAGGAGTAACACTACTGCCCGTAGCTCTAGGAGGTTGCTGTGTCAAAACTCTGTCAGAGCCCAGCGCCCACCTATAACTCTCTTCAGGCAGGTCCCTCCCCATCCTGTTCCGGACGCGTCCGTGAACACTGTGATGTAGGAGGTCACCCGTCCCAGTGGAGACCCCCTCCGGAGGTGGTCCGGAGACCCCCAAAACTGGAGGTTGCCCCCACTGAGGGGGGGAGGGATGTTCACCAGCCGTCGTTTGTGCCTCCAAACGCAGGCTGGGGAACCACCTCTGCAGGCGGCGCATATGTAGTAACCGGCGGGACCACCATGTGAGCAGCCGCCATGAGACCCAGAGTCTGCATGACAGTTAAAGCTGTCACTGTTGCCCCCTGTCGCAGCCTGTGCACCGCCCTGAGAAGGGGCGCACGTCTGCTCTCTGACAGGGTGGCACGCAGCGCGTCTGCATCGAGCACCACACCCAAATACAACGCCTGTTGGCGAGGTATGGGGGTGCTCCTTTTTCCCAATCGATCGCAAAACTTAATTTGGTTAGGTGTGTGATCAACTGTGCTGTGCAAAACATTGCCTGTTCCCGGGACCCAGCCATGACTATGAGGTCGTCTATGTAAAAGAAAACTCTCATGCCGTGTGCGCGCAGCGGTTGAGGCGCTGTGGCCACACATTTGCTGAATGTGCGTGGGGATAGGGAATAACCGAACGGCAGCCTGTATTCGTAGGCTATTCCCTGAAAGGCAAAACGCAGATACTTTCTGTGCTCTGGAACAATTTCCACATGAAAGTACGCGTCTTTCAGGTCGATGGTGGTGAACCAATCGCCTGGCTGCACAAGCCCTAGTAACTGTTTCACAGTTAACATGCGGAATTTCCTGCTGGAAATATGACGATTCAAGCCCCGGAGATCTAGAATAGGTCTGAATTCCCCTGTTTTCTTGAGAACCAGGAAATACATGGCATAAAGACCCTTCTCTCTGTGCTGAGGATGCACAACAGACACAGCCTGTTTCTGCACCAGAGCCTGAATCTCTGCTGAGAGGAAACCCATCTCCTCCTGGGAAGACAGATTTACCTCTCGCATGCCCATAAAAGGAGGTGGGATGCTGCAAACTGGAGTGAATAGCCCCGTTTCAGCATCCTGTCCATCCACCTTGTCAGTACACAGCTGAGTTTCCATTCCCCATAACATTGTGTTAGGGGATGTGCAATCAGCTGCGGAGCCGCAGCTATGAAGCTGTGGTACTCTCTGGTGGCCCACTTCGCTGTCAAACCCTCCATAAAAGGAAGTTTGACCCATGGGGGGCTGACACAGAAAGGGCCGTTTTTCTATAATGCAGTTTCCACTCAGAGAAAAAAACGGCAGATTTTTCACTGAGGTCCCTGAACGCACCACGGCACGCTCCCGTGAGAGCGCGCGCTCCGCCATAATGCT